TATCAATACATCTATCAATACATCTATCAATAAATCTATCAATACAACTATCAATACATCTATCAATAAAACTTTCAAAACAACTATCAGTAAACTGTCAATATATCTTTCAAAACAACTATCAATACAACTATCAATACATTTATCAAAACATCTATCAATACATCTATCAAGACATTTATAAAAAGATCTATCAATACATCTTTCAAAACAACTATCAATAAATCTATCAAAACACTACCAATGAATCACTCAATACATCTATCAATAAATCTATCAATACAACTATCATACATCTATCAATACAACTATCAATACATCTATCAAGACATTTATAAAAAGATCTATCAATACATCTTTCAAAACAACTATCAATAAATCTATCAAAACAACTACCAATGAATCACTCAATACATCTATCAATAAATCTATCAATACAACTATCAATACATCAATCAATACATCTATCAATAAATCTATCAATACAACTATCAATACAACTATCAATACATCTAAAGATACATCTATCAAAACATCTATCAATACATCTATCAAAACATCTATCAATACAACTATCAAAACATCTATCAATACATCTATCAAAACAACTATCAATAAATATCAATACATCTATCAATACATCTATCAATAAATCTATCAATACAACTATCAATACTCTATCAATAAAACTTTCAAAACAACTATCAGTACAACTGTCAATATATCTATCAAAACAACTATCAATACAACTATCAATACATTTATCAAAACATCTATCAATACATCTATCAAACATCTATCAATAAATCTATCAAACAACTACCAATTAATCTATCTATACATCTATCAATAAATCTATCAAAACAACTACCAATTAATCTATCTAGACATCTATCAATGAAGCTATCATTAATTCTATCAATACAACTATCAATACATCAATCAATACATCTATCAATGAATCTATTACTGCAACTATCAATAATCAATCAGTACATTTATCAATAAATCCATCAATACATCTATCAATAAATCTATTAATGCAACTATCAAATCTATCAATACATCTATCAATACATCTATCAATACAACTATCAATACAACTATCAAAACATCTATCAATAAGTCTATCAAAACAACTACCAATAAATCTATCTATACATCTATCAATGAAGCTATCATTAATTCTATCAATGGAACTATCAATACATCTATCAATAAATCAATCAAAACAACTATCAATACAACTTTCAAAACAACTATCAATACATCAATCAATACATCTATTAATACAACTATCAATAAAGCAATCAATACATTATCAATAAATCTATCAATACATCTATCAAAAAAACTATCAATACATCTATCAATACATCTATCAATACAACTTTCAATACATCAATCAATACATCTATCAATAAATCTATTAATACAACTATCAATAAATATTAATACAACTATCAAATCAATCAATACATCTATTAATAAATCAATCAGTACAATTATCAATGAAGCTATCATTAATTCTATCAATGGAACTATCAATACATCTATCAATACAACTATCAATACATCTATCAAGACATTTATCAAAAATCTATCAATACATCTTTCAAAACAACTATCAATACATCTAAAGATACATCTATCAAACATCTATCAAAACATCTATCAATACATCTATCAATACAACTATCAATACATCTAAAGATACATCTATCAAAACATCTATCAAAACATCTATCAATACAACTATCAAAACAACTATCAATACATCTAAAGATACATCTATCAAAACATCTATCAAAACATCTATCAATACATCTATCAATACAACTATCAATACATCTAAAGATACATCTATCAAAACATCTATCAATACATCTATCAAAACAACTATCAATAAATCAATCAATACATCTATCAATAAATCAATCAATACATCTATCAATAAATCTATCAATACATCTATCAATAAATCTATCAAAACAACTATCAATACATCTATCAATACATCAATCAATAAATCTATTAATACAACTATCAATACATCTATAAAACAACTATCATAAATATATCAACACTATCAATACATCAATAAATCTATCAATACAACTATCAATACATCAATAAATCTATCAATACAACTATCATACAACTATCAATACATCTAAAGATACATCTATCAAAACATCTATCAATACATCTATCAAAAACTATCAATAAATCAATCAATACATCTATCAATAAATCAATCAATACATCTATCATAAATCTATCAATACATCTATCAATAATCTATCAAAACAACTATCAATACATCTATCAATACATCAATCAATAAATCTATTAATACAACTATCAATACATCTATAAAAACAACTATCAATAAATATCAACACAACTATCAATACATCAAAATCTATCAATACAACTATCAATACATCAATAATCTATCAATACAACTATCAATACATCTATCAATACAACTATCAATACATTTATCAAAACATCTATCAATACATCTATCAATAAATCTATCAAAACAACTACCAATTAATCTATCAATACAACTTTCAAAACTATCAATACATCAATCAATACATCTATTAATATAACTATCAATAAATCAATCAATACATTATCACTACATCTATCAATACAACTTTCAAAACAACTATCAATACATCTATCAATACAACTTTCAATACATCAATCAATACATCTATCGATAAATATATTAATACACTATCAATAAATCTATCAAAACAACTATCAATACAACTATCAATACATCTATCAATAAATCTATCAATACAACTATCAATAAATCTATCAATGCAACTATCAATGAATCAATCAATACATCTATCAATAAATCTATCAATACATCTATCAAAACATCTATCAATACATCTATCAATAAATCAATCAATACAACTATCAATACATCTATCAATAAATCTATCAATACATCTATCAAACCAACTATCAATACATCTATCAATACATCTATCAATACATCTATCAATACAACTATCAATACATCTATCAATAAATCTATCAATACATCTATCAATAAATCTATCAAACCAACTATCAATACATCTATCAATACATCTATCAATAAATCTATCATACAACTATCAATACAACTATCAATAAATCTATCAATGCATCTATCAATACACATCTATCAATACATCTATCAATAAATCTATCAATACACTCTATCAATACATCTATCAATAAATCTATCAAACCATCTATCAATACATCTATCAATAAATCTATCAACAACTATCAATACATCTATCAATACATCTATCAATAAATCTATCAATACAACTATCAATACAACTATCAATAAATCTATCAATGCATCTATCAATACACATCTATCAATACATCTATCCATAAATCTATCAATACACATCTATCAATACATCTATCAATAAATCTATCAAACCAACTATCAATACATCTATCAATACATCTATCAATAAATCTATCAATACACTATCAATACAACTATCAATAAATCTATCAATGCATCTATCAATACACATCTATCAATAAATCTATCAATACACATCTATCAATACATCTATCAATAAATCTATCAATAAATCTATCAATACAACTATCAATAAATCTATCAATAAATCTATCAATGCATCTATCAATACACATCTATCAATACATCTATCAATACATCTATCAATAAATCTATCAATAAATCTATCAATACACATCTATCAATAAATCTATCAATAAATCTATCAATACATCTATCAATAAATCTATCAATGCATCTATCATACACATCTATCAATACATCTATCAATACATCTATCAATACACATCTATCAATAAATCTATCAATAAATCTATCAATACATCTATCAATAAATCTATCAATACACATCTATCAATAATCTATCAATAAATCTATCAATACATCTATCAATAAATCTATCAATACATCTATCAATAACATCTATCAATACATCTATCAATACATCTATCAATAAATCTATCAATACACATCTATCAATAATCTATCAATAAATCTATCAATACATCTATCAATACATCTATCAATGCAACTGAGAGTGTGAGGGTCAAAATGTGTGTGTGTGTGAGTGTGTGTGTGTGGTTTGTGAGTGTGAGAGTGTGTAAGTGGGTGCGTGAGTGAGAGCGCGTGTGTGTCAAAAGTTTGACAGAGTGCGTGTGAGAGTGTGTGTGAGAGTGTGTGTGTGTGCGTGAGTGCATGAGAGTGCTTGTGTGTGTGAGAGCGTGTGTGTGTCAAAAGTGTGAGAGTGTGTGAGAGTGTGTGTGTGCGTGAGTGCATGAGGGTGCTTGTGTGTGTGGGAGCGTGTGTGTGTGTCAAAAGTGTGAGAGTGTGTGTGTGTGTGCGTGAGTGCATGAGAGTGCGTGTGTGTAAGTGTCAAAATGTGAGTGTGTGTGTGTCAAAAGTGTGAGTGTGTGTGTGTGCGCGTGGGTGCTTGAGAGTGCGTGTGTGTGTGAGAGCGTGTGTGTGTGTCAAAAGTGTGAGAGTGTGTGTGTGTGTTTGTGTGTGTGTGCGTGAGTGCATGAGAGTGCGTGTGTGTAAGTGTCAAAATGTGAGTGTGTGTGTGTCAAAAGTGTGAGTGTGTGTGTGAGAGTGGGTGCTTGAGAGTGCGTGTGTGTGTGAGAGCGTGTGTAAGTGTCAAAATGTGAGTGTGTGTGTGTCAAAATGTGTGTGTGAGAGTGCTTGAGAGTGCGTGTGTGTGTGTGTGTCAAAATGAATGTGTGTGTAAAAGGGAGATGGGGGTTTCATGTATCCATGTTTTTACACTTGTGTGTTGTCGTGAGCGTTGCACCAACTTCTTAGCAACTTAGTTGCATTTTAATAAAGTATTGAATCTTGAATCTTGAACTATCATACGTATCAAAACGTCCATGGGCTGAGAGGAACCTGCAGACAAGTCAGGGCAGAAAAAACAAACTTCCAATTTTGTTTTTACGTCATTTTTATTTACGATTTCCTGCAGACACGTGAAGAACAAACTGTTTGCAGGTCACTTCTGTTGTGATGTCACTGACGTCAGGATAGTGAAAACACATTTCTGCCCACTCTCTAAGAAAAGCTCATAAGTCCCAGCTGAGGAGCTCTACGCTTTGTCCCAACCCGAAGTGTCCTGTCAGTCTGAGCTGAGGACGATCACAGCGATCGTCCGATAGCTCGGCTGCGAAAACGGAATCAGGAAACAGTTTCACGGTCAGCTGTTTGTCTTCATGAGTCTGGAGGAGATCTAAAGTCTGAACTCTGAGGTAGAACATGTTCATCATCAGAACCCGGAACGCTGACTCAGCTCGTCTGAAACACTCACTCATTCACTTTAAAGCTGCACACAGTCATTAAAGATTCCTCTTAAAACCTCGTATCTCCTTCATAAAGCCTGTTGTTGATGGAGATACAAGGTTTGTACCTGACAGACATCAGCTGTGTTTCCAGTGTTTATTTACATTTTATTTACATCATGTGTTGCCATAGTGACAGATGATGTCACTGCCAGCTGTGCAGCTGCAGGAAGTGGGGCAGGGCGGTGATCTGATCTGGGCCGGACCGGGCCAGACACCTGAGCGCCTGCAGCAAGAGGGGGGGTGGGGCCAGACCGCACAGCCAGCTAAACACTTCGTTTCCCAGCAGGCTTTGCCAGCGTTGCGGTTCGTCCCACAGGCGCTGCAGCGCTGGTGGTTTGGACAGGAAGAGCAGCAGGTAGTCAACGCAGCGCTGCGCGTGGCGCCGCTCCGCCGCGTTGGAGGAGACGAGTCGCAGCAGCGCCGCATCGAGGCCGTCGGGTTGAGCGCCGTGGACCAGCAGCAGCAGCAGGCAGTCGGGCCGCGACAGCTCCACCGCCAGCTGCACCGCCGTCTTTCCTGCATCCGCCACGTGCGAGCAGCCGCCACAGCCATCCAGGTAGTCCAGTCCCCCGCTCTGCGCTTCGCAGTCCTTCAGAGCTTCCACCATCATGGCAAGGATGGACACGCGGTCGTAACGCACCGCCACGGACAGGTGCGGCGACCCGGTGCTGCGGCAGCAGCAGAAGTTGCAGCGCGGTGCTCTGAGCGCGCTCACCGAATACCTTTTGAGCAGGTAGCGCGCATAGTCCTGGTGGTCGTGTACGAGGGCGTACAGCAGTGCCTCAGACGGCAGGAAGGCTCGCGGGCGTCCGTCCTCCCAGCAGAAGACCTCCATGCTGCGCATGTCCTCCAGCAGCCAGACCGGCAGCCGCTCGCGCACGGCGCAGTAGAAGGAGAAGGACGTCCGCTCACACAGACGCTGAGACGGAGACGAAGACAGACAGTCCTGCTGAGAGGAGCGCAGCCACGGCATGACGACGCCCACACCTGCTCCACCGTAAACACCTGGGACACTTTCAACCGTCCGACTGGTCCGGGTCCTGCAGAGTCCCAAAGTCTCTGTCTCTCAGTCAAACCTTCGTTCTCAACTCCTTCAGTCATTTATAGCTCCCCCTCCCCCCTCCGCCAGTTCGGCTCTGTGAGTGGATGTTTGTTTTGGGGGCCTGGCGGGGGCAGGGTGGTGGTGGTGGGGTGGGGGTCGGGAGGGGGGGATCGAGTGTCTCACATAGTGAACATAGCGGCCTGCAGCAGTTACATAATGAGCACAGTAACAGGAGCAGTGCTGAGTGCGGACGAACTCTCTGTGTTTTTATTTCTCTTTGATGAGGATTGTGGAGATGATGATGTGATTGTCCGCTGACAGCAGTCACATGACAGAGGTCTGTTAAAGTCTTCTCTAAAAGCAAACAGATTTGACCTGTCAATCAGCTTGTAGCCCCGCCCTAAAGCCTCCCCTGCTTCCTGGTCTCTGTTCCTCTAAATGGGACCATAATTTACTAAATGAACATCACGCTGTGTTGAAGAAGACTTGAAACTAGCGACTGAGACCAGAAACTCATCAGGAAAGTGTTTACTGAGGGAATAAATCAGCTGATTTCTCATAGACTTCCTTTCGGCCCCGGGGCCCCAGCAGCAGGGCTGAAGAGTGTGCTGATGGTTCTGGAGCGGCTGATCTGAACCGACACCGGAGCTGGTTTCTGCACACGTGTTGATCTCGGGTTCATCAATGGAAAGGAGCTCACAGGTGCAGTTCGCTCTTTACTTCCTTTGGTTTGTCGTGATTCCTCTGTGAGCAGAGACGACGTCTGACTTCAGTTTTCATTTCTGCTTTCAGAATAAAACATGCCGAGCTTCCTGTTGTGAGGAGACGAAGGACGCCACCTGCTGGAAGAACTGGACACGTCAGACTGTTCCGCACCTGTGTGATCAGGACTCAGCAGAGTCCTGGACATGTTTCTGTCCTCTGACCCAAGTTTCTGTGAAGAGCGGCTTCCCTCTCAGTCCACATACAGGACTCTGACTCTGGACTCAGACCAGCATCAACAAACAGGACAAGAACACACAAACTACAGTATGCACACACAGCAGTGTAGTGCAAAGGATGCTGGGATAAATATTTAGTGCAGGCGTTATTATGTTCCTGATGTCTTCAGTAGAAACAACAGGAAGTGAACAGGTAGGGACTGAGCTGAGTTCCTCAGGGAGATGGACTGTGGGTACATCTGACCGTAGGACCCGCCCTTCCATTCCAGAATCTCAAAGTGGACTTAGTTCTCTTAAAGGGGTACCAGGGGCTGCCCCCGTTGTAGAACCGGCTGATGTCAGGTCCTGGCCCGGCTTTAGGGTGGGGCCCGGGCTGTTGGTGTCGTGGCTCTACTGGATCAGCAGGCAGGAAGCGGAGCCACCTGGTTTTTATCTTCTTGTAGGACCCGGACCCAGAAGACCTGCTGAGCTGGTCTTTGTTCCGAGTCCGTCAGACAGGTTCCAGCTGCCCCTCAGATGGGACTGATGTTACAGGCTGATCGATCCCTGAACATGTAAACGTCATGGACGTTTCACGAGTTATTGATGTTTTATTGTGTGACGGCAGCAGAGCGCGCGCACACACGCACGCACGCGCACACTCACACGCGCGCTCCTCCCCCTCCTTCTCCGGGATCGATCAGCTGCTGTGTCTGATCTCTGATCAGCTTTGCTTCACTTTTGATCGGCGCTTCAGAATCTGGTCGGGTCCGTGAGTCCGTCTGTCGGTGTCGGTCTGGTTTGAGCTGGTTTCTTCTGGTTCCGGCTGCTTGTTCCGGAACTTTTGGTACTCGGTGTGAAGCTCCGGTCTCGGGTTCAGTGTTAGCATCTTCCTGCCGGAGCTAACTGGTCTCCTCTTAGATCTTTACGGACCAGAACCACCCCAGAGTCACTCCGAACCCTCCCGCTGCTCTCGGGACGGAACACTGAGCTCAGCTCCGAGGCTAGTTAGCCGGTTCGGTTCTTGTAGCAGGACAGCTAAGCTAACTAGCTAACTGTTAGCCTGAGTTAGCAGTTAGCATTTAGCCCGAGCTCCCTCCGTCCTCGTCATGCCGGCGATGCTGGAGAGAAACCCGGAGGCTCCGGGGAAGCGGAGAGGCCGAGCCCCGGCGGGCAGTGGACCCGGGGCGGCAGCGAACCCCGGCGGGAAGAGCCTGTCCGGTAATGGAACCAGCTGCTGGGAAGAAGGAAGTTCAGGATCCAGCAGCGACGAAGAGCATGGTAGGTAGCCTCGATCACTGTAGTACAGCCGTGTACTGTGTGTACTTCTGAGTACTATTACTGAATACTGCTGTGTGTGGATGCAGGTGGAGGAGGGATGCGGGTCGGACCACAGTACCAGGCCGTGGTTCCGGACTTTGACCCGGGTAAGAATCTAAAGAGGACTCTGTAGCCTGGAGGCGGAGAGGTAGCCTCGAACAACAGGGGCACTAAAGTACATGGTAGTGGTTAGCAGACCTCTCTTACTCTCTGGTTGTAAAGTCCACCTGTGGTACTGGTTCCGGTTCTTTGACAGTAGTTTTATACTGAGCAGCCAGATCAGTGCTGGTCCTGGATCTGATGTAGTCTGGATCAGGCTTCAGGGAGTCAGAGAGCAGCTCATGGAGACCTGACTGAAGAGAAATGTTGTAGTGAAGAGGTGAAGCTGCTGCTTCCAGTCCGCACCGGATCAGCTGCTCAACACAACACACCTGAGACATACACTCAGTGTCCACTTTATTAGGAACACCTGTAAAAAGGCACCACGGTTATTGTAGTTTGGGATGTTTCGTTTTTTTAGTTTGAATTAGTTTTTAAAGTGTGTTTTTATTTAAAAAAAATGCTTAGTTTAGTTTTTATTCGTTTCAGTTAGTTTTAGTCTTTGTTGCTGCACGGTGCCAAGTTCAGTTCACTTTAGTTTCTTCACAAAACATTAAAATACAAGCGCAATCAGAAATCTTTGTGAAAAGGTTAAGCCTTTTTTAAGCTATCTGAAGCTTGAATGTAGGGGCCCAAACACTAAGCAAAAAAAAAAGTACTGATGCATTGTCTAAATAAATACTACAAAATGAATGAAATGACTACTAAATGAAGCAAATGCAATCTACAGTATAATTTCTAACCTACATACAAGAGCTAACGACCCTAATCCTGCTACCCAGGCTCCCAAGAAATTCAAACATCAGTCTCTGGCTCTGTCATTCTTGGTTAAATAGATGAAATACAATAAATGGAGGTGATGCACAGCTGAGAAACTGGAAGATGGTGGAGGCCACAACCACAAACAGCAGGCCTCTAACACCCTGAAGGCAGTAAGACTGGAAAGCAGTTTTATTAAAAATCTAAACCTTTATTAATCAAAAATCGGGATAAAACAATGTGAAGCACAAAGAGACAGGCTGGCTGAGAGAGCAGTGAGCCCATAAAAATCACACTAGCTGACATGCAGTAAATATAATGAGCAGCAGACACGTTAAACCAGCGCACGGGGAGCTCACAGTCAGCGGCAAGTTCATCCCACACCAGGATGAGCTCTGAGCCAGACCATCAGAACAGAACAAGGAAAAGAAAACCACCAAGACAAAGACTCACTACAGCAAACTAAACACAGCTCTGCCAGCTGCACAACACACCTGCGGCTCACCGACAGGCGCCTATCGGCTGATCACCGCTGAACTGCCGGTGCGGCCAGACCAGCTGCCCCACAGCGTCACTTCCCCTGGCTTCATATCCACTGGAAGGACCTACGAAATATCTAAATGAAAACTAAGGACGTTTCATTTTATTTAGTTTGAGGTAGTTTTGTGTTTTAATAGTTTTTTTGTAAAGCCTCGTTTTTATTTTTATTTCAGTTAACGACAAAGTTTTTTCACATCTAGTTTTTATTATCGTTCGTCTTCGTTAACGATAATAACCTTGTAGTCCTATCGTACGCCGGCCCCGCAGCCTGACGCAGGGGCGGCCCCCGCAGCACGTCGCAGGTCGGCCCCCGCAGCCCGTCGCAGGGGCCGGCCCCCGCAGCCCGTCGCAGGGGCGGCCCCCGCAGCCCGTCGCAGGGCCGGCCCCCGCAGCCCGTCGCAGGGGCCGGCCCCCGCAGCCCGTCGCAGGGGCCGGCCCCCGCAGCCCGTCGCAGGGGCGGCCCCTGTCCTCCAGCTTGATTAACCTGTGTGTGTTGGCAGACGTGGCCCAGGCAGCTCAGCTCAGAGAGAACCTCGGCATGTTGGTGTGGATCCCCAGCAGCTGTCTGAACCAGACTCAGTGTAAGAACCAGACTAAATAAGTGAAAATAAAGTGGCTGAACACGCGGCTGCTGTTTACAGTCCCTTTTCTCTTCCAGTGGACGAGTACATCGCCCTCGCCAAAGAGAAACATGGCTACAACATGGAGCAGGTAAGTCTTCTACCTGAGCTCTGCTGTTGTCCTCAACTCAGTTCTTCGGTCTCTCCGACTCCAGCTCTCCCTGTCCGTCTCTCTGACTCAGTCTCTCTGAATCCTTCTCTGACTGTGTCTCTGTCTCCGTCTCTGACTACGTGTCTCTGTCTCTGTGTCTCTGTCCGTCTCTCTGACTCCGTCTCTCTGTCTCCGTCTCTGTCACTGTGTCTCTGTCCGTCTCTCTGTCTCCGTCTCTCTGTCTCTGTGTCTCTGTCCATCTCTCTGTCTCCGTCTCTGTGTCTCTGTCCGTCTCTCTGACTCAGTCTCTGTCTCTGTGTCTCTGTCCGTCTCTCTGACTCCGTCTCTCTGTCTCCAGGCTCTGGGGATGCTCTTCTGGCACAAACACAACATTGAGAAATCTTTGGCAGACCTGCCCAATTTCACCCCGTTTCCTGATGAGTGGACGGTCGAGGACAGAGTCCTGTTTGAACAGGCCTTCAGTTTCCACGGGAAGAGCTTCCACCGCATCCAGCAGATGGTACGTTACCAGTCAGACGCAGGGACCAGTACAGGTATACATATCCTGGTGTGTAAACTGTTCCTTCAAGACTCTCTCTCTCTCCTTGTAGTTACCAGATAAGTCGATGGCCAGTTTGGTTCGGTTTTATTACTCCTGGAAGAAAAGTCGCAGTAAAACGAGTCTGATGGACCGACAGACACGAAAACACAAGAGAGAGAGAGGTGACAGGTGAGCTGCACCCTGCACGGGTGACACTACAGGTGACACTAGATGTAACACTACAGGTGACACTACAGGTGACACTAGATGTAACACTACAGGTGACACTACAGGTGACACTACAGGTGACACTAGATGTAACACTACAGGTGACACTAGATGTAACACTACAGGTGACACTAGATGTAACACTACAGGTGACACTACAGGTGACACTACAGGTGACACTACAGGTGACACTAGATGTAACACTACAGGTGACACTACAGGTGACACTAGATGTGACACTAGATGTGACACTAGATGTGACACTACAGGTGACACTAGATGTAACACTACAGGTGACACTAGATGTAACACTACAGGTGACACTAGATGTAACACTACAGGTGACACTAGATGTAACACTACAGGTGACACTACAGGTGACACTAGATGTGACACTACAGGTGACACTACAGGTGACACTAGATGTAACACTACAGGTGACACTACAGGTGACACTACAAGTGACACTAGATGTAACACTACAGGTGACACTACAGGTGACACTAGATGTAACACTACAGGTGACACTACAGGTGACACTACAGGTGACACTAGATGTAACACTACAGGTGACACTACAGGTGACACTAGATGTGACACTAGATGTGACACTACAGGTGACACTAGATGTAACACTACAGGTGACACTAGATGTAACACTACAGGTGACACTACAGGTGACACTAGATGTAACACTAGAGGTGACACTAGAGGTGACACTAGAGGTGACACTACAGGTGACACTACAGGTGACACTACAGGTGACACTAGATGTAACACTACAGGTGACACTAGATGTAACACTACAGGTGACACTAGATGTGACACTAGATGTGACACTACAGGTGACACTAGATGTAACACTACAGGTGACACTAGATGTAACACTACAGGTGACACTACAGGTGACACTACAGGTGACACTAGATGTGACACTAGATGTGACACTAGATGTACACTACAGGTGACACTACAGGTGACACTACAGGTGACACTAGATGTAACACTACAGGTGACACTAGATGTAACACTACAGGTGACACTACAGGTGACACTACAGGTGACACTACAGGTGACACTAGATGTAACACTACAGGTGACACTACAGGTGACACTACAGGTGACACTACAGGTGACACTACAGGTGACACTACAGGTGAACTGTGATGCTGTTGGTGAATTCTAATAATTTATAACTGTGTTTCAGTGAAGATGAAGCTGAGGACGGGCACGTAAATCCTCCCAGTGACTCTGAGTTCGACCCAAATAAAGACGAAAAGAAGGAGGTAAACTACAGACTGTTGACTTCTTACTGACTGTTTACTGACAGATGACTGTTTACTGACTGTTTACTGACTGACTGTTTACTGACTGTTTACTGACTGATGATTGTTTACTGAATGATTGTTTAATGACTGTTCACTGGCAGATGACTGTTTACTGACTGATTGTTTAATGACTGTTCACTGGCAGATGACTGTTTACTGACTGATTGTTTAATGACTGTTCACTGGCAGATGACTGTTTACTGACTGATTGTTTAATGACTGTTCACTGGCAGATGACTGTTTACTGACTGATTGTTTAATGACTGTTCACTGCAGATGACTGTTTACTGACTGATTGTTTAATGACTGTTCACTGGCAGATGGCTGTTTACTGACTGATTGTTTAATGACTGTTCACTGGCAGATGGCTGTTTACTGACTGATTGTTTAATGACTGTTCACTGGCAGATGGCTGTTTACTGACTGATTGTTTAATGACTGTTCACTGGCAGATGGCTGTTTACTGACTGATTGTTTAATGACTGTTCACTGGCAGATGGCTGTTTACTGACTGATTGTTTAATGACTGTTCACTGGCAGATGGCTGTTTACTGACTGATTGTTTAATGACTGTTCACTGGCAGATGGCTGTTTACTGACTGATTGTTTAATGACTGTTCACTGGCAGATGGCTGTTACTGACTGATTGTTTAATGACTGTTCACTGGCAGATGGCTGTTTACTGACTGATTGTTTAATGACTGTTCACTGGCAGATGGCTGTTTACTGACTGATTGTTTAATGACTGTTCACTGGCAGATGGCTGTTTACTGACTGATTGTTTAATGACTGTTCACTGGCAGATGGCTGTTTACTGACTGATTGTTTAATGACTGTTCACTGGCAGATGGCTGTTTACTGACTGATTGTTTAATGACTGTTCACTGGCAGATGGCTGTTTACTGACTGATTGTTTAATGACTGTTCACTGGCAGATGACTGTTTACTGACTGATTGTTTAATGACTGTTCACTGGCAGATGACTGTTTACTGACTGATTGTTTAATGACTGTTCACTGGCAGATGGCTGTTTACTGACTGATTGTTTAATGACTGTTCACTGGCAGATGGCTGTTTACTGACTGATTGTTTAATGACTGTTCACTGGCAGATGGCTGTTTACTGACTGATTGTTTAATGACTGTTCACTGGCAGATGCTGTTACTGACTGATTGTTTAATGACTGTTCACTGGCAGATGGCTGTTTACTGACTGATTGTTTAATGACTGTTCACTGGCAGATGGCTGTTTACTGACTGATTGTTTAATGACTGTTCACTGGCAGATGGCTGTTTACTGACTGATTGTTTACTGACTGTTCACTGACAGATGACTGTTTACTGTTTATTGCTCACTGACTGTTAGTTGTTTACTGACTGCTCACTGACAGATGACTGTTTACTGACTGTTAATTGTTTACTGACTGCTCACTGACAGATGACTGTTTATTGCTCACTGACTGTTAATTGTTTACTGACAGGTGAGTTCTGGATCAGAGAGGTCAGAGGTCAAACCAGCTGCCGGACTGAAGGTAACAACCCCTGACCACCTGTACCTGTCTGTAGCTCACTTGTCTGTCTGTCTCTCTCTGTCCCTGTCTGAAGCTCACTTGTCTGTCTGTCTGTCTCTCTACCTGTCTTTCTGTCTCTGTACCTGTAGCTCACTTGTCTGTCTCTCTCTGTCCCTGTCTGTAGCTCACTTGTCTGTCTGTCTCTGTACCTGTCTGACTCTCTCTGTACCTGTTTGTCTCCCTCTGTCCCTGTCTGTAGCTCACTTGTCTGTCTGTCTGTCTCTGTCCCTGTCTGTAGCTCACTTGTCTGTCTGTCTCTCTCTGTACCTGTCTTTCTGTCTCTGTACCTGTAGCTCACTCGTCTGTCTCTCTCTCACCTGTAGACTGGCAGTAAGGCGTCTCAGCGGCTGAAGAAACGTCCTCCCAGAGGAATGTTCCTGAATCAGCAGGACGTCGTCTCGCTCTCGTCTTCGTCTCCTCAGGGATTCATCAGACAGCTGGACTGCCAGCTGGTCTCCATCAAGAGACAGGTCTGTCTTTCTCCTTACCTGTCTCTTCCTCTCTTTACCTGTCTTGCTCTCCTTCCTTCTCTTCCTCACCTCACCCGTCTCTTCATCTCCTCCCCCGTCTCTTCCTCTCCTCACCTTTTTCTTCGTCTTCTTACTTGTCTTCCTCTCCTCCCTTCTTTTCCTCTCCTCACCCGTCTTGCTCTCCTTCCTTCTCTTCCTCTCTTTGCCTGTCTTCCTCACCTCACCCGTCTCTTCGTCTCCTCCCCCGTCTCTTCGTTTCCTCCCCCCCTCCCCCGTCTCTTCGTCTCCTCCCCCGTCTCTTCGTCTTCTTACTTGTCTTCCTCTCCTCACCCGCCTCTTCCTCTCCTCCCCCGTCTCTTCCTCTCCTCACCTTTTTCTTTGTCTTCTTACTTGTCTTCCTCTCCTCACCCGTCTCACCCGTCTCTTCCTCTCCTCACCTGTCTCTTCGTCTTCTTACTTGTCTTCCTCTCCTCCCTTCTCTTCCTCTCCTCACCCGTCTCTTCCTCTCCTCACCTGTCTCTTCGTCTTCTTACTTGTCTTCCTCTCCTCCCTTCTCTTCCTCTCCTCACCCGTCTCTTCCTCTCCTCACCTGTCTCTTTGTCTTCTTTCTTGTCTTCCTCTCCTCACCTTTCTCTTCGTCTTCTTACTTGTCTTCCTCTCCTCCCTTCTCTTCCTCACCTCACCCGTCTCTTCGTCTCCTCCCCCGTCTCTTCCACTCCTCCTTTTTCTTCCTCTCCTCACCTTTTTCTTCGTCTTCTTACTTGTCTTCCTCTCCTCACCTTTCTCTTCGTCTTCTTACTTGTCTTCCTCTCCTCCCTTCTCTTCCTCTCCTCACCCGTCTCTTCTCTC